CCCGGGCCCCCCCCGTTGCTCTGGCCACAAGGCCACGGGGCTTCAGCCTGCCCCGCTGCCGGCAGCCGGCTCCCCGCCCCCCGTCTTGCCCCGGGTCACCGCGCTGGGACTGGGGAGCTCCGAGCGCTTCCCCCCCATGCCACCTCCTAGAGTTGCGTTCAACATCTCCTCCTCCCTGGGGTCGCCTGCCAGGTCACTGTCCCCACATCGGGAGGGGAGCTGTGGCGTGGCGTGGTGGTTCACGATGGGGAAATTGGGATCGGGTGCTCTTGCGTTGAGGCAGGTATTTCATGTCTGGCTTGTGTCGGCTGTCAGTGAAGGGGAGGGGGAGCTGCCTTTGTTCCAGGCAAGGGAGCAGATGTATGTCAGCGTACAGCCAGCTGGGGCTGCACACACGCAGCAAAAACACACGTGCACACAAGCACATGCACGCACTCCCAGCCAGGCGCATGCTGTGCAAAGCAGCCCTTCTTCTCAGCTATCCCACTCCCCACTGGATGAGTCCTCCTGGGTACAGCCCTGCTCCCAGCCTGCCCTCTGCTAGCATCCCCCGTGTCAGCAGCTTGTGCGGAGGTGCATCTCTTCCTCGGTGCATCTCTGGGGAATAATGGATGGGTTTGCCCAGGCTGGCACTGGGGAAGCATGGCAATGTAGGGTGAAGTTACAGCTGCCGTCTGGAGACCAGGTCTCCCTTGTCTCTGCTGTGCCAAGGAAGTGGCTGCCCCTCTGCTGCTGGGGCTTCTGGAAATCCCTGGAAATCAAACTGTCAGACAGTTGGGCAGGGGGAGGCAGCCCCAGTGCATGCCATGGGCTTGCAGGAAGTGTCTTGCAAACACGGGGCTGTGCACAGCCCATGCATGTGGGTGTGGACGCCTCCGCTTTGCCGTGCATGCAGACAGCACCCACGTGTGCATATGTGCACACATATGTGCACCATTCCTCCTCCGCAAACCATGGGAGAGCCGGGAGGCTGTGCGGGAAGTGCACTGCTCGCTCCTTCTTCTCGTGGCTCTAGGGTGGGACTCTGCAGTTTGTGATGGGCTCTGTGCTGAGCCTCCTCGGTAGGCAGAGAAGGGGGGAATCTGTGTCCCGGTGGGAGCTGACCTGTTGGGGCAGGGCTGGAGCCGTGAGGAATAGCCCTTTATTGCAGGTAAAATGCAGGGAGCAGGTCTTCACTGAAGAGGACGATGAGTTGAAAGAGGTGGGCTGCACCCAGGCAGAGCCTGAGCAGCCAGGGCCGAGGACTCCTCAGGCTCCTGAGGATGAGTGCCCACAGCTCGGGGAACAGGGCTCGAGGCAATGCTCACCCAGGCACGATGCGGACTGTGCCAGGGCTGGGAGATGCCACTGGGCACAGCTGACATCAGCCCTGTGGACTCACCGAAAGGGCACAGCCCCAGCCCCTCCTGCCTCCAGGCTGCCATTTTTGGGACATGTTCAGAGCCTGGGTGGGTCGGCCTGGTCTGGGAGGGGTGCTGCACCCCCCAGTCCCTCACCCCACTGAGAGTCCCTTGGGTCTCCTCTGCAGACGGGGTCTTTGTGACCGACTACTTCACCCGCACACCACGCAAGCTGAGCCCCTTCCGCTCCTTTGCCAGCATCGAGCTCTTCCACTTCCACATCCCCGAGGACACAGTCATTGCTGTCTGGAACCTCATCACCTTCAAGGAGCAGGGTGGCACCTTCGGGGACCAATGCCCAGACCGTAGCATCACCGTGTGAGTAAGCAGCCTGCACTGCCTGTTCCCTTCCCGCCTGCCCCTGCTGCCCCCTGCCTGGACTTGCCCTGGGGCCTGCCTGCTCTTGACTGCTTCTTGCTTGCCCGTGCACATGTGCATGTATGTATACGCATGCACGCGTACGGAGGAGCACTCATGCACACACACGCGTATGCAGGCACGCACGTGTGCACAGATGCACGCACGCGTGTGTATATGCACATGCATGCACACGCGTACACAAGCACGGTCGCTCCCCGTGATTCATCTTCCCAGGACCGTTGCAGGCTCCACTCTTTTGTGCATCTCATACATGAACGGTTTTGCTTGAACACACCCAGGGAAGCTCACAGTCTCCAGCAAAGTCCCAGGCTTCCCCGTCATGTCTTTGAGCTTCCTCATAGCTTGGAGGACAGTCCCCGACGTGTAGGGCAGGCTGGCCCTGCCACAACGCCCAGCCCGTGCCCTGCTAACTGCTGTCTCTCCTGCAGGTATTTCCGCTCAGGGGCTCCCTCCGTCATTAACCCGCTGCGCACGCACTTTCCCAGGGACACGGCTGTCCCTGGCTCCTTCGCACTGACCCTCACCTGGACCCTGCCCAACCGCACCACCGGGGTGTTCAACGTCACCAGCCCGCTGCCTGGGGACTGGTTCCTGGCTGCCCACCTGCCCAAAGATGAGGGCAAGATCTCCGTCAAGGTGAAGGGCTCGGGAGGACCGTGGGGTGGCAGGGCTCACTGCAGGGCTCTGCTGGGGTCTGACTGTCCTGCGCTGGCAGTGCCCGGGGCAGGTGTCCCAAGCGGGGACAGTGCCCCGTGCCCCCTGCCCCGTGCTGACTGTCCTGTGGTGCAGGGGCTCTATGAGGAGTGCCAGTATCTCTTCCAGCCACAGCTCATCGTGCAGCGCCTAGTGAACATTGCCGTGCTGTACCCCGGCTATGTCACCGAGCAGAGCATGGCCCCCCACAACCGCTCCTGCCTCTACAAGTGAGTGCGAGAGGGTCTTCTAGGGAGGGGGCACCCCCAGGGTGGGGAGCTTAGGGTGCCCTGTCCCTCTGGCTTGCCTCCCCCGCCCGGTCGGTCCGCGGTGAGGGGCAGGACCTTGACACTGCTGTCCCTCAGGGTGTTTGTGCCCAGCTACACATCGCGTGTGCTGGTGGAGGTGCTGCGGTGCCGTGGGGCCGAGGGCTGCCCGCTCTGGCTGCGCGTGCGGGCCAAGGCTCCCCCCCTGCACAACTCCACGGCACTGGACTGCCGGGAGCACGCTCCCTGCCAGCTGGCACTGGACCTGCCCTTCTGGCAGCACTGGTACTACGTACTGGTGGAGAAACACCCTGGGGTGCCGGGCACCGTCTCCTTCCAGGTCACCGTGCAGCTCACAGGTGAGGGTGCACGGGGAGGTCCGGGTGGGGGGCACGGTCTTGACTCTGCTTGGGCGACTGGTGGGGGGGTGAAGGATGCCCATGGGATCTGGCCCCAGCTGGGCGCAGGGTTATACCAAGCTGTGTTGGGGTGGGGATGCTGGGAGGTGTTGGGGATGGGTTGCAGATGGAGGTGAGCGGTTGGCAAGAAGGGGAGGTGGGAATCAAGAGGGGGCTGGAGGAGCTGTTCGGCGCCCAAGCTGACAGCTCTGCCCCCCAGACTGCTCCCGACCCAGCCTGGCCCGGCCTGCGCAATGAGCTGGACACCTTCTCCGTCCACTTCTACATCTTCTTCGGGCCCAATGTGTCCGTGCCGCCCGACCGCCCCGCTGTCTTTGTCATCAACCTCCTACCGGTGCTGGACAGTGGTGGGGTGCTCAACCTGGAGCTGCGGCTCAATGTGGTGAGGTGGCCATGCTGCGCCCCGGACGGGGCAGGGCAACCTGGGGGGGTGCTGGGCTGGGAGATGGGTGATGTTGGGGCTGCAGCAGGGCCGGGGGCAGGCTTTGGGGTGCTCTTGGGTCATGGTTTGGGAGCTCTTGGGTGATGGAGCACAGGTTAGGGTGCTCGAAGGGCAGGATGGTGGCCTGGATTTGGGATGTTATTGGGTGATGGGCAGTGGGTTAGGGCACTGCTGGGTGGTGTGCCGTGATCCGGGTGCTGTCAGACCAGGGAACATCCCTGGCACTGCTTTAGGGCCATCTTCTCCTCTGCTGTCAGAGCTCCCTGTGTGGTGAGAACGTGACGGTATTCGGCTGTCTGAACCATGAGGTCCCGCTGATGTCCGGTGACAACGCATCGGTCACCTGTGAGACGGGTAGGCTGGGCTGTGCGTGTCCATCTTGCCGTGGCCGTGGGGGTCGCACCCCTTCATGTGTCCGGTGAGAGGCTGAGTGGGAGAAGGCAGAGGTGGTGGGGGAGTCTGGCCCCAGAGCTTGGCCCAGGGCACGCTGTCCCCGCTGTGCCCAGGGGAAGGGGCTGCCTCCTGCCCTGCTCAGTCGGAGCTCTCCCTGCCCGCAGAATCCCTGGCAGGCTTCCTGCTCTCCGTCAATGCCACGGCCAGCCTCAGCCGCCTGCGGATCCCCTACCCCCAGACGGGCAGCTGGTACCTGAGCCTGCGCTCACTCTGTGCCACAGAGCATGGGTAAGAGCCCTGGCACATCCCCTCCCTGCGTGCCTGGAGGGGATGTCCCCACCATGGACTGCATCCCTGTGCACTGTGGGTCCCTGGGCATGCCTGGCCCCTGCGCTGTGTGTCACCGCTCACGTGCCTGCATGTGGCTTTGCGGGCTGTGTGTCACCGTGTGAGTGCCTGCATGGGCACGGATGGCTCTATCTTGCGCCTGCCTGACCGTCTGTGGGTCCCCGCGGCTCTTCCCTCTGTCTCTTAATTAGGAAGCGCCTGTCAGCTTGCGAACGCCATGCATCTGTTGGTGCCTGCCCGTCTCTGCGGCAGTGCCCATCTGTACCCGTGCCTGGGAGGGGACTGGGCTGTCACTGCGAGGACAGGGCTTGGCTGTGCATATGAGAGGGCAGCTCTGGCCAGGCTGCTGTGCCCCTGCTCTGCTCAGCATCTCCAGGGGCTGCTCCTGTGTCTGCGGCTCTACTCCTGGCCCGTGTGTCTGCCCGAGAGCCCTGTGGAGGAGAGGGGCTGTTGTGTGCGTGTGCCTGTACATGTGAGAGGCCATGTGGGGCTCTGTGCCACGCAGACGGTGCTGCGTGCATGTTCAGTGTGTGCATGCAGACAGCACTGGGTGTTTGGTGCATGCATGTGGATGGTGCTGCATGCACATTTGGTGCATGCATGCAGACAGCACTGCATGCATCTTTGGGTGCACACATGCAGACAGCTCTAGGCGCGTGTTTGGGTTCGTGCAAGCAGACGGGGCTGTGTGTTCTGCGTGCAAGTGTGTGCAGATTTGGCTGTGTGAGCACATGCAGGGACAGCAGACGCGCCCTATGCATGCGTGCAGACAGTGCTGTGTGCATGTTTGTGTGTGTTGGGGTGCCTGCGTGCGCACAGGCAGCAGTTGGTGCGTGTTGTTGGGACGTGGGCTTGTCTGTGCTCTTGCGTGCTGGAGCTGCCGAGGTGCTGGATGTGCCCAGAGCCACGTGCGCGGGTGGTGTGGGACAGCGAGGGTGCTGTGCGACAGCGAGAGTGCTGTGCCTGCTCCGGCTCCTCCGCTGTGTTTCTAGTTCACACTGAGTTGACACTTGCAGTCAGTCCTTCCCCGAGACGGTCACACGCAGGCATTGCAGGGCACGGTGTTTGCACAGCAAAATCCAAATGAAATAGGAGCCAGCTGAATGTGTTGCTGAAGGCAAAGTGGGTCTAAGTGTGGCTGCATTCCTCCCGCTCGCCCAGCCTGGCACAGACAATTGCAACACGCAAGATCCTTGGGGGCCAGCTCTCAGCTGCCACACGTAGCACCAAAGCAGCTCATTTCCACGCTCGCCCAGTCCCTGGGTCTCCCATCACCTGCCAAGTCTGGGTGCGACGGGTGCCTCTGGTGGAGGCAGGAGCTGCTCGAGGGGTGAGGGCTGACCCCCTTCTCCTGCACCTCAGGTTCGAGCCTTGCACCAACGTGACGGCTGAGGTGTACCTGCGCGCCTACCTCTCGCCCTGCATCAACGACTGCGGCATCTACGGCCAGTGCAAGCTGCTGCGCACCAACAACTACCTGTATGCCGCCTGCGAGTGCAAAGCTGGTGAGAGCTGCCCCGGGCACCCACAGTGCCTGCTGCACCCAGGGACACCCCCGGCATCCTCCCCTCTTCCCCGGGGGTTGTGCACCCCATTAGTCCTCCCCATGCCAGCTCTCTGCAGGGCGCTGTAAAGGGGCTTCCCCGCTCCCTCCCCAGCCCCTGCAAGAGCTGCAGGGGTGACGGCGGCTCTCCCCAGCCACAGGCTGGAACGGCTGGGG